GCTAAGGAGAAGAAGAACTTGACTGTTGCCCAGTGGTCCAAAGTCTTCTTTTCAGATGAGAGCAAGTTTTGTATTTCATTTGGAAATTAGGGTCCTAGAGTCTGGAGGAAGGGTGGAGAAGCTCATAGCCCAAGTTGCTTGAAGTCCAGTGTTACGTTTCCACAGTCTGTGATGATTTGGGGTGCAATGTCATCTGCTGGTGTTGGTCCATTGTGTTTTTTGAAAACCAACGTCACTGCACCCGTTTACCAAGAAATTTTGGAGCACTTCATGCTTCCTTCTGCTGACCAGCTTTTTGAAGATGCTGATTTCATTTTCCAGCAGGATTTGGCACCTGCCCACACTGCCAAAAGCACCAAAAGTTGGTTAAATGACCATGGTGTTGGTGTGCTTGACTGGCCAGCAAACTCACCAGACCTGAACCCCATAGAGAATCTATTGGGTATTGTCAAGAGGAAAATGAGAAACAAGAGACCAAAAAATGCAGATGAACTGAAGGCCACTGTCAAAGAAACTTGGGCTTCCATACCACCTCAGCAGTGCCACAAACTGATCACCTCCATGCCACACCGAATTGAGGCAGTAATTAAAGCAAAAGGAGCCCCTACCAAGTATTGAGTACATGCACAGTAAATGAACATACTTTCCAGAAGGCCAACAATTCACTAAAAATGTAGAATACTTCTTCTTATGAAGTATTCTAATTTGTTGAGATAGTAAATTGATGGGTTTTTGTTAAATGTGAGCCAAAATCATCACAATTAAAAAACCAAAGACTTAAACTACTTCAATCTGTGTGCATTGAATTTATTTAATACACGAGTTTCACAATTTGAACTGAATTGCTGAAATAAATGAACTTTTCCACGACATTCTAATTTATTGAGATGCACCTGTATTAGGGCTGTGTATCACCAGCGAAGTCACGATCTGATACGTATCACGATACAGAGGCCACAATACGATACGTATCACGATACATGACTGCACTGAATTTCACCTCAGCAGAATTTAGAAAAACAGCTGTTTATTAAACACTGCTTACTATAGTGCCATTTCTAACTATTGGCAGAGCAGGCAGTTGACCTCTGCATTATGAAGGGCCTCCATAACTTTACCACAGTACAATATAGGTAATGGCATATGTTTCATGTTTACATTGTGCACTCCCCACCAGGTACAATATTCTGATTGTTTGCATCTTGTTTTAAAAAGCCCATAAATAATAATGTACTGGTTCTAATAAATGTATATTGTAATGTACTCATTCTAATATATTTAAAAAATAATTTACATTGCTGGTAGGTTATCATTGCACAAATTAACACTCGACAATAAAAAAATAAAAAAAAAGAGAGGAGTTCTAAACTAAAGCGCTGTCTTCACTGTAACTAACGCTCAAGGCTGATTTACTCGACGCGTCCGCATGTTCGCTTGGGTGCGCGCGGCAAATATGACGCCATCGCGGTGTTGGCGGAAGTTCGCTTTGAGTGTGCGCAACGTCGTTTCGCGTGGCGGTGTGTACAACATTTTTTGTAACTTTCTGCGCAGCTCCGCTTCCGAAGATGCACGAGTTCAAAGCGACTCTAGCCGAACATGCATGTGTGTGTGAAACAGAAGCAGTTAATGTTAAGTTCAGTCACACACACATCAGATCACATTGCGGCCAAACTCAGACATTCAGGAACAAACTTTTTAGCGCTGCCCCGCAGTTTTATCAACTAAATAGCTTAATCGCTCAAGAGCTACATTATCTTTCTCAACAAGGAGCTGATAGCATCATTGTTTCTAAAGGAATTAAAGCCACCGCTTTACTGTTAATAGAGAAACGTGGCAAAACGGTGGTAATTTATACACACACACCCTCTCTCTCTCTCTCTCTCTCTCTCTCTCTCTCTCTCTCTCTCTCTGTGTCCTAAATGAACAGTTGATGAATTACACTTTTCTGAGAATAGAATATTGAAGTGGAGATCGCTAAACTGCAAGCTAACCGGTGTTTTCAGAAAGCAAGCGCGTTTATCCACTGTGAAGAGAGAGCACGTGCACAGGGTTGCCAGGTTGACAAAGATAAGTATTTCCGTATTGCGCAAGTATAAAGCTCTGTTTCGGGGATTACGTCTCTTTATATCAGGCAACCCAGTTGTGTTCCTCTGCGGCCAGATTAAACCTTGTTGTAGCCTATATATGCTCTATTCATTCTTTTTTAGAAACCTCGCACTTTTCTACTCTATTTTAAAGGTTGTAAGATTTTAAAAATTAAGCGCGGTCCACTGCTGCACATGTGCCACAATATTGATACAGGGCCAGCTGTATCGATACTCGTATCTTCAAATCTCTATGATGATACATCGTCATATCGATATTTTGAACACCGCACTAACCTGTATAGTTCATTTTGCTGCAATGTCAATGAAAAATGGTTTATATTAAATAGTTTAATTCCTATATTTGGATAATCCAGTGACTTTAATGTATTAAAATAGAAACTTTCATTGTGGTGGTTTTGCTATATGTATCTGGTATCTAAAAGCTCTTTAATTCTTTTTCACTCTGTTCAGAAGAGGACAGTGCTATAACTGAACAAATGGCAGAGCTGCTCAAAGTCTCACTGGGCCTTTGAAACCTGAAGAATGGTAAAGTCAAGAGTGGTAGTTGCTTGTGCATTTCCCTCCACTCGTCAAATATAAACACAGCAACTTAAAACTGATTTGATGTGGTTTTGGTAAGGACTAGCACTTTTTCCCCATGTTCAAATGTTAGAGGTCAGTTATTAAATGCACACAAATCTTGGACCAATGTACTGGTGGTAGAGGAGTTTGTGTTACTCGGGGATCACCTGAAATACTCATGTTAATATTCCACACTGGAGATCTATGTCATATGTGCCATCTGAAAGACTGTACCTCAGCTGCCCAGCTCAGATTAGCCCACACAGGACTGGTGAGTTGGTTCCAGATTTGTGACCTTATAGACTAAAGGCACTGCTGCAAATAACTGGTTATACTTGTACTTTAACAGTTTTGTTGTTTAATGTATGTGTCCTTGTATTGCTTTCTAAATAAAGATAATACAGTCATTACCTTTAATTTAGGTTTTTGATTGTTGAGGAGTATTGCAAGTTTGAGTACTACTGCCATTAAAATCTTTGCACACCAATGCGATTCAAACTCATCAACATTGAAATAGCATGAAGTCACCTTTATTTATATAGCACTTTATACAATACAGGTTGTTTCAAAGCAGCTTTACAGTGATAAACAGGGTAATGATTCAGTAATGCAAACAGAAGTCAATTCTCTATAAAGAAGTCATTATTCAGTTGAAATCAGTTAATTGTTGATTCAGTTCAGTTCAATAACTTTGCAGTTCAAATATCAGTCCCTCCAGGATTTTGCGATCGCTGAATTTATCGCAAAATTAAGCAAACGCCGCAATTTTCGCAAGAGCTCACAAATTTTCATAATTGCCGCTGATTTTCCACAGATTTTTGTGCTTTGTCCCGTGACGTCATTGCAATGCGCATTCAGTCAAAGAAAGATTCCAAAAATCATCTTGACCGATTTACAAGAGCTACATTGGACAAACGAACCGAAAGCGGAACGAATCCGGACTACTTGTTTATCTGCTCGGGCCAGAGCAGCGGGCTGATATCAATCACGCGACACCGTTATACACAGCGCTGGGAGATACAGTGAAGAAAGTTGTCGAATTTGCCGCAGAATCAATAACATCTCTGTGAAATCTTGTGAGAAGCATTCAAATTTGGCGCAGAATTCTGTTAAAGCTACAGATATCAGAACAAATGCCACTGATGTGGAAACCATTATTCAATAAATACAAATCACCACCATTCACCATGGATTTAAAACTACAGGAACAACTTGTGGCAGTCTTAATGTTTTCGAGTGTTTTTAAATGCCTGACACAACTTTTCCCAGCACTTCAAAGCTTTAAGTATTACCGAATTTGAAAGTAATTTTTAATGTGATTAGATTATTTGTTCATCCTTCATAGGTTGCCCCATATATAAAACTAAAATTTCATGATGTCGGAAAGCAAACACTTAATTTAACGTCTTTTTTATTTTTAATTAACACTAGTAGATGGCTGCAGAGAAGTACTTATAGGCTTATTAGCCATTTCCTAATATATTTTTTTGTATTTATTAAATTATATTTAGATATTATGAATGACAGTAATACAAGTCAATTTTATCTGCATCTCAACTACCCAAGCAGCACAAGTACATCAGACAAGACGTCTGCTAAAGATCTGGGAAACATCTGCTGTGTAATCTGATAGTTGTCTCAGAAGCAGTTTTACATGCATTCTAATAAATGTCTATTTGACATCTGACAGGAAAAGTCTTCGAGATGTATTGCAGATGAGCAAACACTAAAAAAAATACATCTTGCATATGTAAATGCAGAGATCTCCAAGATGTACATGTGCCATTGGGGTGAGTGCTTTACTGTCAGGTGTTGGTGCCACCTTCTGTAGAACTTAATGGCACTGGTGCTGGTGTCCTCAGATGTTAGTCTGGAGCCCTACAATGGTTCTCAAAGCCAGAAAAGTCATAATCTTAGAAGAATGTTGTCTGTGGTATATTTTCACTGCAAAACAATAATAAATGCTGCAAAATCAGTCATTTTAGGCCGCAAAAATCAGAAAAAAGTCCAATGAAATCCTGGAGGGACTGAAATATGGAATGAGTTTAATTTAATCTATAATAATCTATATAACATAATCTATAAAGCAACTTTGACGAAAACGGTCGATGTGATTCAGCTCAGTCCAGTTCTCAGCCAATAGTGTCTGTGCTGTCAAATCAATAATATTAAGTGTCCCCATCTAAGCAAGCCAAAAGGCATCAGTGGCAAGGAACCCAAATGCTATCGGTGATAGAAATGGAGGAAAAAACCTTGGGAGAAACGAGGTTCAGTCAGAGACCAGACAGCCAGACGAACAAACATGGTGTGATTTAATTCCAGGCTATCTCACAAATCAGATTGTGGATTGATATCTTTATACCATCTAAAATATTTCATCCAGTTTCTTTTCCTTGAATGTCGGGATGCATTATGACAGCGTTTGGTGGGGTATTTAAAGCTGGCCTCATCTGTGTAGAGTACTGGATCTGGGTGACGACGGTTACTTCAGAATAAGAATGAGACAAGCTAATATTAGTATAGATTAAAGATAGGCAGATAAAGCCTTGTGAAGCTTTTGAGGCTTTTTCCTAATTATACCAAAAAAGATTCAACGCTAGTGATGTCCGGTTCGTCAACGAATTGATTTAACAGGTTCTTCTTAGTGAACCAGTTCACCAAAACGTAACGAATCGTTTGAAACGGTTCGTGTCTCCAGTAAGCATTAATCCACAAATTACTTAAATTATTCACTTTTTTAACGTGGCTGACACTCCCTCGGAGTCGAAATAAACCAATATCCCGGAGTAATTCATTTACTGAAACCGTACACTGACTGAACTGCTGTGAAGAGAGAACTGAAGATGAACACGCGCAGAGCAGCATGTGTGCAGCGAGCCGGATAACAAATGTACACGTTCTCGAGTCAAGAACCAGTTGCATCGGTTTTCGGATCACCAGTACACTGAACTGAGAACCGTTTCTTTCGGACACGTCTGATTTGAGAACCGATGAGCTGATGATACTGCGCATGCGTGATTCCGCGTGAAGCTACCGAACAGATTGCCTACTAAAGCGCCGTTCACACTAGCAGCGACTCGCTAAGGGCTGGCAATGAGGTTGCTAGTGGGCGTTCTCAATACTGGTTGCCATGACAGCGAATCAGGTTTCTTGCCGCTAAGTACAAACATTTTGGAGACAAATGACTAAATATAATCTACATCTAAATTAAATCCGTACATACAAACAAAAATGAATGAGAAACAGAGCCTACTTTCTTCCATTGCGTATGTTTATCTACGGCGCTGAGAGGAGAATGATCACATGAGCTCTACCGACTTCTTTCCTATTGGTTGTCGCTCCCAAAACTCGCTCTTCATTTGCATAAAGTTGAAGGATTCTGAACTTTGTCGCGTCGCTGGACACGCCCCATCCGGTCGCCAACGGTCGCTGTCGCTTACTATCGCTCGTGCCGCCTGAAATCGCCAGCTCTCCATTGAAATGAATAGGATTGTGTCGCTTTGCTGTTGCGTGTCGCTTGTAGTGTGAACGGGGCTTAACAGCCGACCTCCATACGTCATCCTGTCGCTGGACACGCCCCATCCGGTCGCCAACGGTCGCTGTCGCTTACTATCGCTCGTGCCGCCTGAAATCGCCAGCTCTCCATTGAAATGAATAGGATTGTGTCGCTTTGCTGTTGCGTGTCGCTTGTAGTGTGAACGGGGCTTAACAGCCGACCTCCATACGTCATCCTCCCGGAACTGCTTCCGTGTACAACTGTTGGTGCAAGCTACATTAAAGTGATTATTACGTTTTGAATATGGATATTTTTCTTACAAAAACGCATCGATTCGATGGCCTTTGTTCACCCCCCGGAGCCGTGTGAGAGACCTTTTTTATGGATGGGCGCTTTTTATTTAACAACTTTTGGACTGATGCATGCAACACACTGAGTGGCATTAAACAGCTTGAAAGATCAAAGACAATTTTTAATAAACTCCGACTGGATTCGTCTGAAAGAAGAAAGACATATACACCTAGGATGACTTGAGGGTGAGTAATTTATGGGCTAATTTTCATTTTTGGGTGAACTAACCCTTTAACCACTTTTATCCAACCATGAATCTGCTATGAGCAAGTGGTGGAGTGAAGGTGCACCACAATAAAACCCCACCCTTTATTCAATATTCAATTTCACTTGAAAATACATCACAACACTGAAGTCAGTTGCAACTTCCGGATCACGGGTACTTTATTGATATTTTTCAAGGTATTGAAGTTAGAAATTCCAGTATCGTGACCACTAATTCACATACTTTGTCAATAAGATAAATTGGGTTTTGTTCAAAGTAGCTATCATCCACATAGATCTTTGATATGGTTGAATTTTTTTTTGGTAATTCATTAAATATCGCCGACTAAATCGTAACTAGTACTCCGAGTAGTTTTTGAGAGGAGTACTTTGTACTTTTACTTGTAAAATTTTTGACACCAGTACTTTTACTTGTAAAATTGAGTATTATTTCAGCAATGTAACAGTACTTGTACATAAGTACAAATTTTCAGTACTCTTTCCACCACTGATGCCGGGTTAAAGAGATGAGTGTTTAATCTAGATTTAAACAGATGGAGTGTGCCTACCTTTTGAATGATGCTAGGAAAAGTAGCCTATCTACCACTTGCAATTTTTGGTATTCTAGGTATTTTCAACTGGCCAGAATTTTAAAATTGCAGGGGACTTGAAGCACTATAATGTGACAAGAGCTTGTACTGAGGAGTTAAATAATTAAGGGCTTTTTATGTAAGCATCAAGATTTTAAAATGTATGCAAAGTTTAAAAGGGAACCAGAGCAGTGTTGACAGAACTGGGCAAATATGGTTATACTTCTTACTTGTAGTAAGAATTCTAGCTGCTGTGTTTTGGACCAGCTGGAGTTTGTTTATTATTTGTAGAGTAATATTTTTTTAAGACTGAAAAATGCAGTTTCACAAATGTTAGAAATGTGGCTTTCTAATGAAAGATTGCTTTCAAATAGCACACCCAAGTTCCGAACTGAGATTGTAGACTTGACAGCCATCAAGTGTTAGAGGGTGTTCTATAGGAAATTGCTAGTCTTCAGATTTTTTTTATTTGTCAACAATGTCCTGCGTTTTTGTGAATTGGTTCGTCAGGCTGTGAAGAAATGTAGAACTAAGTATCATCAGCATAATATTATTTCCCAAGGGTAGCATGTACAGGGTGGAAAGCAAAGTCTTAGAATTGAGCCATACTGAACTTCTGATGATACAGTTTGATTTACTGCATGTTGCAAATTGATGATGCTCGGATAAGTACGATTTGAACCATATCAGTGCAATTCCACTGATGTCAACATGTTTTTTGAGACTATTCAAAAGTATGTTGTGGTTGATGGTATCAAATGCAGCAGTTTGAAAGATTTTGGGACATATTTTAATGGCAATGATGAATAAGTAATATTAAGAAGAGAATCTATGGAAGTATTGGAGAAGTATGACTTGTCTCTGAGTAGGCTATCGATCTTGTAAGTAAACAGTACACACAGTCACTCAAATTTCTGTCACCTGAAGAACAGATGCATTACAACTCAGATAACATATAAAGGAATTGTATATTTTTGCTTTTGATGTGTTATCACTGCTCACAATACAATACAAGATTACTTGTCAAAGCAAATGAACATGAAACATTCATTTGAGTTGCAATTATTTTTATTAGTTTGTACAGCTGCATTGTGATACATGACATAATAAAATGGCTTGTAATAATACTGTAGGCATATAAATGTACGTAGATAAATGTTATGGTAAAAAAATTTTTTTTCATATTTCCTGACAACTAGGTGGCCTTAGTGATGCATGTACTATCAGGTCATACTTATGGTGACAGTTACCAGGTTCTGTCTCAATACACTAAAGCATTGTGGAGAGACTAATCAAGAATAATTTACTTGAATTCCATAACTGTTTGGCAGCATGGTCTGTCTTTTTTTATTTTTGTGAATACAAGAGCAACGTTTGCTGCTTGGACCCCTAATTAAAAAAAAAAATGTGAGTTTGCAAATGTAACACTATTTTCCGTAAATGCACTAAATTTAATTACCGGTATGTAAAAGTAATATTCAGAAACATTCCTTACTATGTAGGTCTTAAGTTTGTGGTGAATATCTGCTACACCTGGGGCCTGTCAAGTGAGCATCACAAGAAGCGTGGTAGGCGAAATAAAAGATGCCTCTCTTTAATGGACACCTGCGTGAATGAGATCCATGTTCAGGTCTGACCACACATCTCCCCACAAAATCATCAAATTTTACATCACTGTCCCAAACCTCAAATATGAGTTCATGACCAAACTCAATTGATCCTAAATTAAAAAGGGTGTACCATTCTGGATCATTATCGTTTATAACCACCTCAGTCTCCCTATATATACCATTGTACCAGATTTTCACAAAACCATCAGTGGCTGAGAAGTAATCTTCATTCATTCCTGTGGCACCTAGAACAAACACTACTAACTTGCCACGGCCGGCTAGCATAGGACAGCAGTTGTGGTCTAGATTTGGTGTTTGTGAGCATTCTTGATTCTCCTTTTGATCTACAGAGAGCCTGTTTTCTTCTATATACTCTGTTATTGCACTCTTCAGATTGGCACTAACCTCGGGATCAGCCACCAGATGATAAAGAGGGAAAATTGCATATGATATGACTTCCGGAATGTCATGCAAGCTCTTCACCCAGTTTGAGTATGCTTCAGCTGGGCTTTGGTTTAAAACTAGGTCTGGAAAGTATTTCTCACCTCCCAGCACCTCCATCTTGTGTGCCATGAAGCCCTGGTAGAATCCCATGCCTATGTTATCTTTAAGGATTTGAGAGCATTTGTTGGAAAGCATGGCATTAGCTGGAAGGAACCCCAAAGTAACCTTTAACTCTATGTTCAGGCAGTTCTTGATATCAGTCTCTGAGAAGCTCTTCAGGGTTGCAAGACAAGTTCGAAAAGCCGTGACTCGCCTCACTCGCCCTCCCAGATGGACTTGACGTGTGTAGTGAGTGCCGTAAGTATCTATAGTTCTTCGGTACATGGGTTTTGTTTTGACGTCATATTGTGTCGGAAGTCGCTGGAGATGTTTTGAGAATTCAGTGCTGAGCTCTGGGTGGTCTGCAACTCTGTAACTGCAAATGGAAAAAATAAGTAGTTATGTGTCAGCATTCTGTAAATGTGGTTTTTAAAATAAAACTTCCTTATGTTTGGTTTTCAGTGTTATTTTACCCAATTTAGTCAAAGGAAAGAGGAAAGTACTTATTTGCATGAATTGTGTGTAGATTCCACTTGTTTTGACATTTTGATATCCATGCAGTTTATTAAACCAAAGATGTCAAACTCAGTTCCTGGAGACCCACAGCCCTTCAGCTCCAACTCTAATTAAACACCTGTAGCAGCTAATCAAGGTCTTTAGATTTACTTGAAAACTAAACATAGGTGTGTTGGAGCTAAACTCTGCAGGACTGTGACCCTACAGCAGCCGAGTTTGACACCCCTGAATCAGACATTTCTGAGCGGGTGTTTACACAACACCATTTTCAACTAAAGAAATCTTATGCATTTTGGCCATTTATTTACGAGGCAATGGTGTTTTGGGGTTCTGAGAACTGAAATTTTTGAAAATGTATTTCAAATTGCAAGTCTTCCTCTAAAACACAAAAATTTGAATTTGTGAAAATGGTGACATCTGCACGTGTATTACATATTTGCGTGGTGTTTCTTTAAAAGTATCATTGCCCATTACTGGCCTGGTATGCATAATACAGCGTTTTAAGGCGTTTTTGACCTCTCAAAAAAGGACAAACTTTTCAATTTTTATCATGTTGTCGTGTAAACTTACCCTAAGTGTGGCTTTAAGTGTCCAAATACTTTTTGCACCTCACACATATAGAGCTAAAGAGGATTGTTCTCATCTTGGTATAGTACCAAGAATGCGTAGGATAATTTGGGTATAACTTCACAAGAAGAGTTCATGAATAATCATGTGCTAATACCGAAATTATATATTACTGTATGCTTTGGACATAGATCCATGTAGCCACTTTTATACAATTATCATAATCATCTAGAAAGATTGTATGCATGTTCAGAGATATTGAGAGATGGTCTGGTCTTCACAGTCTTTTGTTCTGTTGGCCCACTGCAACACAAAACATCAAGGAGTCATGAACTCATGGACTTACCTGTAATATGTGCAACTGTGCTCATGGAGGGCAAATGTTGCCTTATCCATTGCATTCTGATATTGGGCAAACTGAGCAATATCTGAATGGCTCCTTCCCAAAATGACCCTTCCTATGTCATCCAGGCTAAGGTCAATTTCCCATTTATTGATGAGTGATGTTGAACTCTTCATTAGGGAGTCGACAGAATGATGAAGAGCACTAGAAATCTGATTGCTGCAGCGGCTGAAGGAACGCCAGTCCCTCACAACTGAGGGAAGTTTCTGTATCTGCCCTCCCTGAAAGCGGTTCTTGCAGACTGTACAAGTGCCATTATCCATGTGTGACTTGACATTGATCAAAAAGGCACCTTTACGGCGCATCCTGACAACATCAAAGCCTTCGCCCGCCAGGTTGTAACCAGGTACAAATGGGGCTTTCTCACATTCATCATGAGAGCCTGTATGACAAGCTGAACTTGTGTCCCAGTGTGTCAAGATCAGAGAAATGCAGAGAAACATGGGGAAAACACACTGATTTGTCTTCATGGTGATGTCTAAAAGGGAATATCCAGAGGAATCACATGTATTATTTAATTTGTTCTAAGATGGAAAAATATAATATGCATGCAGAGTTTAAACAGCCTTGTTTTTGTGGTCATAAAGATATTGATATTTTAATAATTAGAATATTACTGTAAAAGAAAGGCTTCACTTAATTATGGATTTATTTATTTATTGATCAATACTGTTCAAAATAACAGCTCATAAATCTTACCAACCGAGTAGATTTCATGCAACAGTCTGTTAAAGCTGTTGCACCACAATATTGATATACCTCATAAAAGTCCTTTTCTCTGTTCTTCTCTCGAAAATACTTTGTTTTCATGAAATTCTATTGCTGCAATGTCACTTTCTGGCATCCTGCTAATGCTGAGAAGACACGTCTTGTGGAAACGTGGCATTTGGCAAGGAATGTCTTCCTTTTAGGCCTTTCCTTCTTCCTTTATTTCATCCAATGAATGGTTTGATTTGGAATTTTTTGGGGGGAGGGTTCTCACAAGACTTTGCATAAGGGAGTGAGGATGAAGTGCAAGTTCAAGATTAATGAGATTCAGGACAGGGATCAAAATATGTGGCACTGCACTCAATTCAGATTTGTTTTTTTGTTTTGTTTTTTAGATTTGATCTTTCGGACTGACCTTACTGTCACTTTGCAAGTAATGAAACGCCTTCAGTTATGCTGCTACTTTGTTCAGTTAGTCAGTTTTGCTGCCTGTCTAAACAAATCTTAAGTCTTATTCAAACATTTTAGCTTCTCTAGGATTGGTCTCATCGACAAATACAATACAAATCGTGAGGTCTTTGTGTTCCTCCTGTCGACTCGGGCTGGGGGGCAGGGAATCAACCTCGCCTCTGCAAACACAGTTATACTGCATGACATTGATTGCAATCCATTCAATGATAAACAAGCAGAGGACCGCTGTCATCGAATGGGGCAAACCAGGTTAGTATAATCAAAAGGAAATGGAGATTGCCATAAAGAAGGGAATTTAGTTCCTGATCATGTTTTTGCATTGCAGAACAGTGCAGGTGATCAAGCTCATCAGCAGAGATGCGATTGAGGCCTGCATGCTCCGTGTGGGACAGGAGAAGCTGAAACTGGAACAGGACATGACTACTGATGGAGGTGAGTGTCAGCGCACACAAGCTCTATCAAACCTACAGGTCACAATTTACAAGATGAACCTCATTATGTCCTCCATCTTAGTGGTAGAAGGGTGTGGTATTACCCAAATGTTTCATATATTAAATAATCATATGATTCATTCCTGTTTTTTTGTTTTGTTATTTTATAACCATAAATTATAGATACAGAGCCTCAGACATGACATGCAGGAAAAAATCTTTATATCATGGCCATGAATTAACAATTTGTTCCCACGACTTACTAATTTGTCACTTCGTTTTAAGTAAATTCTAAGCACGATTTACTAATTTGTTACCTTGTTTTAAGTAAATCTTGAGCACAATTTACTCATTTGTTACCTGTTTTAAGTGCATCGTGTGCAAGATTTACTAATCTGTTCTGTTTGTTGAATGATTTTCACCTTCTTTGAGAACAGGCGACATCCTATTACAGCCCTGTCATACTTTATTTATATCAGCAGCAGCAATAGAGGTCTTATCTCACTACACAAAAAGTACGAAGAGTTTATGAAACCCATATGGCCCATTTGGCTCACTGCAGAGCCAAATGACATCCAGCTCCCCCACTCTGAAGGTAATGAGTGGTGCTGGACTAGGTCCTGTTGTCCTTTTATCAGTGCCCATTTTGTTAGATGCCTATTTGATGATATAAGGTCATATCAGCTGTGTGGGTCTTGTGAGTGTCGTGTGACCATCAAACATCCGTTTTTTCAGACCTGGAAATTCTGTCATTGTTGAAATGATTCCTGGCACTTTGGAAGATCTCTTAGCTAACAGTTAGTCACATGACTCTCACAAGATCTAGATTCTAACAGGTTATTAAAAAACAAGGGCATCTTTCACATCCCAGAAGTGCCATAATGTTAGCATAAGTGAAAAGTCTACTAATTTGAGAGCTCAGAAGCACCAAATGAACTTCTGGGTTTCCTGATGTTTAAAGGGTGTATATCAAACAAGCATGCATTTGGGATTCTCCCTTTTGGAAATTGTCTCCTCAGAAATATACGCTGTTTTATCTGCCATCATAAAGAATGTATAAAATGCTGGAAATTGCTATGTTTAAAGAACATAGCTTTAAATTAAGGTGTGTCTGGATATATTAGACCAGTGTTTTTCAAGCCTGTTGCTGGGACACCCCCAACGCCGCACATTTTGTCTACATCCGAAAGTTTACTCAGGCATAGGCAGTGTTTGCACATGAATGAAACCAATTTTGGACGGACTCCTATAACAGCATAATTGTTTAAGGATCTACAACAAAATAGATTGAGTTTTAAAAATGCATGAAAAAGTTGGTCAAAATCATGCATTTACATACAAACTGACCACCAACTGCAACCTTCAGATGGCTTTTTTTTTTTAGCTAAACTGTCCTGAAATCTAACACATAAGATGGATATGACGGATACAACTATGCAGCCTACAAAAAGAAATCTGTGGTATGATCATTGGGTTTGGACATGCCTTGACTCAAGACATTAGCTTATTAATAGAGAATCCAAGACCTGAAAGGGGTTTGTCAGAAAAAAGTGTCATTCAAAGTGTGTAGTCTTGGGGGTGCTAATCTACTTTTTAATAATTAGCATAATTAATATGGTAAACATTTTTTGTAGAATAAGCTTGCGTCTTATCGCTTAGAGCACTACATTGGTGAGGCATTGCACTTTTGAGATTCTCAGTAAGTCTTGGTAAGCATTCCTCTTCTCTTCACTTCTCTCTTGATTTTGGCAACAGTATTGTTCTCATTGTACATGTTACCTATTGGTTCAATTTTTTGGATATTTGGTGTAATCACTGCTATGCTGACGATACCCAACTATACCATATAAACACAATGACAAGTCCACCATAAAACAATGAATAGCCTGTCTCCAAGATTTGAAAATTTAACTTTCTGCACCTAAATGATGACAAAACACAAATCATTTTGTTTTGGTCAAATGAGAAAGAGCTGAGTACTCTTGACCCCCAAAGTCTAGTTCGTTGACAGCTACTACTTTTGTGTGCTCTAGTGTCATCATTATGATAACAAACATCTTCATTACTGTATTTGGATATTGCATTTTTCAATACATTTGGGCATACTTAGGTTTATAACGGATATGGTTCTCATCTTATTGATGAACAGAAATTGTAGTGTGCAAGTAAAGCTGTAAATTCCTGCATCAGTGTCCTCTGCCTCTGTAGTTATGTTCTGATACTTGCAACACAATTAAAACAATAAAAATCGCTGGACTACATAAGTGATTAATCTATTAGACATTCTATTAGCAAAAGTGCTTTTCTTCCTATTTTCAAATCAAAAACTTTAAATGCTGTTTGAGTGCAGGCCAGCGTTACATTGCACTGATATGCAATGTGAGTGCAGGCCAGTGGGTTGAATGGGGAAGGGGGAGAATCGTGCTCGGGCTTGGTACAAGGCAACTGTATTACTCCATATTGTTTTTCATATATCAAGGATATGGGTTTTATTGTAGACAGTGGTCTAAAGCGTGACAAAAAAAGAATACCACTGTTTGTTTTAGCTTTTATCGCCTTTGACAATTGGCAATTGCTTTCCTAAGCAAGAATAGTTTTGAAATTGTAATTCACACCTTCATTACAACTCAACTTGATTATTGTAACTCACTGTATTATGGGCTGCCTTTTTTTCTATAAATCGACTTCAGCTGGCCCAAAATGCGGCTGCTCGTTTGCTCATGGGCAGTCGCAAATGGGATCACACCTATGCAACGTTCTTTACATTAGTTACCGATCCACAGTGTTGAGGAGTAACTAGTTACATGTAATGGTATTATACAACCTGTCTGAGAGTTGCCACCATGGTGAGTGATAAAAATGCATTCCAGTGCTGGAAATGTAAAAATCTGATGACTGATGTGTGGTGTGGGCTACTTTATCAGTTGCTTTATTGTCCAGTTTGATTTTTGTTAAAGAAAGAGCAGACACACAGTCACACATACAGATTTCACTGATTTCTTTCCCAAATTGCAATCGATGCAGGGAAGAGGAGAGGCAGGATCCAAGTGCAGGCAGTGTAGTTTATTAATAAAACAAGGGGTAATCTAAACATGGGGAGAACAAAGTAAACACAACCAAAGCAACATCCAAGCAAAGACAACGACTGGCAAGTGAACAAAGCAAACACGGGAATAAACACACAAGGGCCTGGTTTCACAACCAGGGCTTAGACTAAAGCCCAGCTCAAACTGTACGATTTTGGCCACGATTTGGTCGTCTGAGACAAATTTGGAAAATTCTAAAAGATTCCTATAATCGTAGGCTAAAATATGTGGTCTTTGATCGTTAGTTTGACATGTTCACCGACAGCCGATTAATGGCCATTGCGATCAAATTTTACCTCCGACGAAATTCTGGCAGTGTCAGAAGATTTGGCGCACAGTCCTGCAGTGTGACTTCTCCTACAACGAACGTCAAACTGTCTTCGTTTTTCAAGACAAGCCATGATCAGAATTAATGCTAGAGATTAGATTTCTTCTAACCGCATAAACTCTGGTGCTCTTGACCTCCGCTCACGGATACGTTGCCTCTGCTATGATAAACACCGGTTGCGGTGCTGTTTCATGTGGGTGTGTAGTGCTGCTTACACTATTCTTCTTAAATACGCCGGTATTGCCGCCATTCATATACTTTTAATGATAGCCAACATTACAGCCCCGCGTGCAATGCTGCTCGCAGTCACTGAACGTGTATGGGTTGATAAGGTAAAACTCTGGACAAGTTTTCTTGCACGCACCCATTTTTAACGTGTCTTGACTGTCGTACAGTCTGACATTAATGACAACTGAGATCCCACAGTGTGACATGATCATCATGTTTGTACAGTCTGACAAGTACAATCCTAAAGGACTTTTTAAAAAATCACACAGTGTGAGCCCAGCTTTAGTCAGGTTTAGGCCATATTTCAATTAGGACATTTAAGTAATTTTTATAAACGTGCCTTAGAAAAAACATTACTGTTGTCCATCCTGAGACAAAAAAAAGGCATTGATATATTTTAAGATCAATCAGTGCAAGTTTATTTCAGTTGAAACAGCTCAGACTTACATATTAGTCTGGGACTAGGTTTAAGCCTTGTCTGTGAAACCGGGGGAACAAGTAACAAGCTTAACAAGATAACACAATACACCTTGGGAGACTAATCAAGGTGTACAGATGAACATACGGACTACAAACTGACTACAAAACACACAAGAAACACTTTAACAACAAGAGTCCAGACTTGA